GAACCGACCTTCGAATCTCTTCACGCAACACTTCTACTCGAAATGGAAGTAATCCCAACAACCAAGATCATATTCACGGCTGAAACTCGTGTTCCTCCATTTGGGTGTGTGTGCTACACTTTATCGTGATTATGCCTTACAGGCCTCCTGCACAAGTTAGCTCATCTGTCCCTCTTTCTCGCAGCAAAGAAGATCGGCATCGCGTTCCTGGGCCCTCTGCGCTGAATAGTCCTGGGGACTGTGGTTGAATTGGATGTCACGTTGTGGTGGGATTCAAGTGATTGTCGTCTCTGCATGCGTCGAGCCCCGCTCGGTTTTGCGGATGTCTGCTCCGACGTCACGCCTCTCCAGCACCGGTCCACACTCGACTTGGCGCCTCGTTGACGCGACGAAAGGACACACGGTACAAGCCAGACAGCTGTGCCTCGAGGGGACTGTGTGTCGGGGGTGTGATTGAGCCTGGTGGGCTTGGGCGAGGGTGCCCACCGGGCAAGTGGGGTTCTGAGGCCGAGGCGGCCTAAAGTGGCAGATTGACGAATCTTCCCGCCCGCCTCGAACAGCCTGACACACCTTAGCGGCCGGTTATGTGACCGAATGGGTATGTAGGAAAACGGAGTTTCGAAGACTCCCTTAGCAGATTTGAAGAGGCGAGTGGAAGGGATTCGTAAGTTGGTTCCACCGGAAACTGTGAGGGGATTGATTGCAGATTTGTGCCAATAAGTCCTCGGTGCACAGCCCCGCCCACGCAGATGAAGTCTATCGGAGAGGATGTGAATTCGCTGCGGAAGCCCTCAAAGGAGGTGTGGCGGAGCAAACGAGGCTGCCAATTTTGGCGACATGATTTGGTGTGACTCGACTCGTCATTTCAAAGGGAAACACGTTTAGAAAGGATTCGTCATTTGGGTCCACCGTAACTCGAAGTAGTGAAGACTGTCGGATTGTTTGAAGAGGTTCTCGTTCGTCCCTTACGTCCCACTTGTCTCGATGTACGCCCGGACGACAAGCCTTAGTTGCCACGCCAGAATCTTTGTGGGCAACATGGCCAAATTTGAGTGATACCACACGCATATGCACACCCATTCATACATGCATGCATACATTTACACGGAATTCAAGCAACACATCTTCAAGTAGGTACTTTTATCGGCTGGCTGTATCCCTAAAGCTGTACAAATGACTCACCGGTCTTGGAGCATCCTTCCAATTGTCTCCTTCCTCCTTTCTCTTTGCGCCTCAGTGCACATCGCTTTCTCTACACTTTTTTCCGGATGTTTTCCATTTTCTATTTTCTTCTTCTCCTGCATAAACTCTTGCAGCACTTGGTTGAACGCATTGGTTCCAACAGTAAGGCTACAACTTCTGAGATATGAAGAGAAGCTGGGTTTTGAAGAATGCCTTAATAGAAGGTATGAAGACCAAGATGGTGTGGCCTTTTGTGTGTTCGCAGTCTCCTTTCGTTGTATGGAAGTTGTTTGACCTTGTTTGCGCAACTTGGTCATGTTGGTAGGAAGAGTTGGAGAAACGCACCTTGTTCAGAGTCTATTGTATGCATCATACTTTCCAGAGTAGGACCGTGGACGTGGTACATTCCCAGACATTTCGTCGGCATCGTCTGTGAGTCTTGCCAAACGTGTGCTAAGCAGTTGTGGTATCTATCATTCTGCCCTGGCCTATTCACATTTCCTATATCCTCCTATCACACCCTCACTGTCACAATTTTTACCGTGCTTATTTTTGATGCAGTGTGGTGTGCGAAGTGTGGAGTGTGAAGGGTAAAAAATTGTGACAGGAACGGTGTGATAGGAGGATATAGGGAATGTGAATAGGCCAGAGCAGAAGGGAAGATAACACAACTGTTTAGCACACGTTTGTTCACTTGTCTCTGACGAGTTGTGTGATGCTACGAATGGCGATACTCACTGACGATGCCGGCGAAATGTCTGGGAATGTACCACGTCCACAGTTCAACTTTGTAAATGATGATGCATACAATGGACTCCGGATTAGGTGAGTCCCTCTAAGTCTTCCTACCAATATGACCGAGTTGCGAAAGACAAGGTCAAACGACTTCAATCCCTTACTAGGTTGATACTTGCATAACTTTCATTTCGTGTGAGAAGGCGGTTTCGTAGATTGGCCATTACCGGATACCGAACTTGAACTTTTGTCTCTTGAATTGTGCAAAAAAGACCTCGATTCGCCGTCCTGCAAGCCCAATGACTCCGTGCTGAGTTCTCGTCCTTCGTGCGACGGACATCGTCAGGACCAGAAACCACTATTCACGAACAATGATCGAAACGACTGAACAGAAAAAGGTGGCCAGCTGAGATTCTGCTTACTTCTTATGCCTCACTTTGCAATCCGAATGAGGCGTTCCATGATTTGGTTGGCTGCTTTACGCTTGTCCTGCACGCATGCATGCGAGTGAAAGTGACGCAGAAGGAGGGTCGGATACGACCACAACTTTTCTACATGTTGCACACACACATGAACCCGCAACCACGAAGCTTTCACAGGATCAAGGACTATAGGATCATGCATACAGGAATGTTGCGACCACATCTGCTCCCCTGCCTGCATCACTTTGAACCACTTGCTTTTATGTAGAGCAAGCATATGTCATATGAGATGTATTTAACCTAATTTGTTTAAGATGATGAAGGACTGGTAGTAGAATTTACTAACATTGATATGAGTAGAGCTGACGTTTCCATTCAATTTCACATTGCCTTGTTTTCGCAAAAGTTGTTCTCATCCAGACACAAGTGGACTGCAGTTTCGAAACACCTCCAGCGGGAGTCGAACCGTGGCAGTGCAACATCTGCCAATCAGCCACATTGCCACGAGCACTCATGGGCCACAGGGCAGATGTGAATTTCAAGGAAGGCCAGGCATCTTGCCGTATCATATTCTTTGGTGGGATTTTCGATGAAGCAAACTTATATTTGCTATAACAATCGACTACGCTACTTCTTTTTCATGTTTAGTAGAGTTTCGAGACTACCAGTAAATCAGTAATATGAGATTATATTACTGATTTACTGGTATTCTCGAAAATCTACTCAAACACGAAAAATAAGCATATGTCAGCCAACCAAATCATGCAATGCCCCATTAAGATGACAAAGTGAGGCATCAGAAGTAAGCAGAATCTCAGCTTGCCACCTTTCCTGGTCCAATGTTTTCTGGTGATTGCCCATGAACAATGGTTTCTGGTTGTGACGATGTTCGTCACATGACAGCTGAAGGCTGAACACGGAGTCATTGGGG